CTGTGGAAATCAGTATGGAGATACCTCAAAGAACTAGGACTGGAAGTCCCATTTGACCCAGTTCTTTCCCTGCTGGGTATCTTCCCCAGTGAATTAAAACAATCATATCACAGTGATATATGTGTACCCATGTTCATAGCAGCAGTTTGTAACAGCTAAAACTTGGAAGGAGCCCAATTGCCCATCAACTGGAGACTGGATAAGGAAAATTTTTTTTTTTATATAAAATGGAGTACTACTCAGCCATAAAGAATGAGAAATTAGGGACATCTATAGCTAAATGGATGCACATTGAGGTGATACTCTTAACTGAAATAAATAGGGCACCCATGTGTATATACTGAATAGTTTCTCTGGTGTGAGAAATTGGAAGTGTAAATAAGGATCAAAAGCTTTAATAGATAATGTGAAATAGGAAGAAAAGGGGCAAAGGGGAAGGGGAAGTGGTAGGGGTAGGGGTATGTAATTAATATGAACAAATGCAAACAAAGTCTTTGTAAATAGGGACGATTAGAGGAGTTGAAGGGAGGGCAGGGGAATGGGGAAAAAGTAAGAACCAAGATATATAATTGTTCAAACTTCCAATGATGAATGTCATTATATTGTATACCTAAAATGTACCAATAGAATAAAGAATACCTATAAATGAACTCTAAAAAACCACATGACACAGATGAGAAATGGTAGAGAGGCACTTAAAAAAAAAGATATCCAAGTAGACAATATATATATGAAAATATGTTCACCCTCATTAATAATCAGGAAAATATAAATCAAAAACACACAATAATTAATACATTTGCCATAACTACTAAAAGTGAAGGCTAATGATACCATGTACAGACAAGGATGTGGGGAAACATATAAACTCTTACACTGCCTGTTAGAAGGAGGCATGATTATTTAAACTGGTTTGACTATTCTAGAAAATAGTGGCTGGGGATTTAGCTCAGCGGTGCCGCCCCCTGCCTTGAAATCGCAAGGTCCTGTGTTTGATCCCCGGTACCAAAAAAAAAAAAAAAAAAATAGTTTGGCATAGGTACTAAAGCTTTCATGTGTATGTGCCCAGGGTACATACACAGGAGTATTCCTTGCAGCATTACTATGAATAGCCTTCAAAGAGAACTAAACCAAATGTCCATCTATAGTATTCTGGATGAATAAAGTGTGGTATAATCAAATAATACAATGAAAGTGAATTGACTAAAGTTAAGTGAAACAGCATGGATGAATGTCACAAATGTGATATTGAATTAAAAGAGCCAGACATAAAGGAACACAATTTTTAGGATTTCCTTTGCATAAAGTTCAAAAGCAGACACAACTAAAATATGGTGCTTAAGGAAATATACTTAGTTGATACAACCTTAGAAAACAAGAAATAATTCCCAAAGAAGTCAGGACAGTGGTTACCTTTGTGCATGTGTTTTGAGGAGGATGGAGTAGAAAATGCAAAAAGGCAGCTCCTGTTCTAGATTTTTACCTGATTTTGGTTACATGACCATGTGATAATCATTAATTAAATTGTTCATTAATGTACTTTTCTAAATGTATGCTAATTAGCATCATACAAATGGATTTAAAAGTGTACATGGGAACAAAACAAGAGGAATCAGCTGTTCTTTCCCCAAAGTTTTTTAGCTTCAGTAAAAACAAAAACTTTGAAGTGTAACCAATGATGAAAAAAAACACCAAAACTCTGAACTGATTTCAACTTAAGTCTTCTACTCCTTTGTTCTGACATATTCTAGAGTGCAGAACAACCTTAAATGACCATTCTGTCTTTTACTTTTCCATCTGGAGACAGCAAGTTACATCAGTTTCTTAATGAGGCCATACAGGGGCCAGACACTGGCCTGCTTTCTTCCCACTTGCAGGTATCAGAGAAGCCCTCCACTGACTTGGCATGGGGAGCAAAGCCTGCACTAATGGAACATTCTCTCCACATAAATCATCCTTACAAATTCCCTCGTTAATCTTCAACAGCCCAACTTCATGGGGTGAAACATTTCAGTAAACAACTACCATAACACCATGCTAAATACAATAATAACAAATTGTTAAATAAAATAATAAATAGTATCAGAGAAACACTAAACTGAGAGAAAGGAGTCCTTGAACAATTATATAAGAGAAAGCAAGAGAACCAAGTAAGACAAGTGCATAGTATGTCTTGAACTAGATATGATAAAAACATCTCTTACCTGTATATGAGGTTTGGTTAGTTCCTTTGTATAGTAGCATGGCTTATTTGTCATCTTTATGGGCAATCCACATATATGAGGCAGTTTAGATTTTAAATCTGAAAGGAAACTTTTCAATACGCCTTCCAAATCTACCCTTGGGAAGAACTGTATGGGCTGACTTCTAATGCAACTGAGAGGGTATCTGTACAAAGTTAAAGAACAATGTGAATGGGTTTGTACATAAGAGACAGCAATTTTATGGAATTAAAAAACATTTATAGGGCTGGGGATTTAGCTCAGTGGTTTCGCTGCCTGCTGTGCAAGCTCAAGGACCTGAGTTCAATCCCCGGTACCAAAAACAAACACAAATTTATATAGCTACATTAAAAATACACATAAATAGCCGGGGATTTAGCTCAGTGTCACAGTGCCTGCCTTGCAGGCACAAGGTCCTGAGTTCGATCGCCAATACCAACCCCCCCAAATAAATAAATAAATCGTATTTTTATGTTGCTTATCTCATACATCTTTATTCTTAAAATTATTTTTATTAACAAATAATTGTAGATGTTTATGAGGAATGATATAATGCTCTGATACAACATTCATAATTAAGGCTGGGCATGACGGTGCACACCTGTAATCCCAGCACTTGGGAGGCCAAGGCAGAAGGATCACCATGAGTTTAAGGTCAGAGTGGACTACATAGTGAGACCCTGTCTCAAAAAACAAAACAAAACAAAAATCATAATGAAGGCAATTCACTGTGCCCTTATATGGCTTCCTAAATAGACTGACAATCTAAAACAGTCCAAAAATTTTTAAGAAAAACCATATTACTCTTACAGATTCAAAAAATGCATTTAGCAAACAATGAAGGTTGTAGTTCCAACAGCAGTGAAAACTTCAGTACAGAATATTGATTATATTCAAACTCCAAAAGCAGTCCTTTGAGGAAAGCAGTTACTTTTTGTGATGAGAAATAACTTGGAATAATGTCTTGGCATCTAAGAAAAGAAGAACAACTGGTATATGTCAACCTCAGTT